CATGAGAATAATATATAACTATTAATCTTGAACAGAATCATAAGGGATTAGATCCACTTTACTCAAATTTTCTGATTTGCAACCTGACACTCCTAATTCATTTTCATCAGTATAGGATGTAGGGGTGCTAGTTATTGGTGTTTCCCATACAATGTGAGGAAGGCTCCAGTTAGTTTCTTTATAAATTGAATTATTCCCTTGCTTTTGGGATATTTGTTGTTAATCTCTCACCAAAAAAAAATACTGTAAGCTCTTTTCCAACATTCACCTTTTGCCCATAATTTATCAATTTCTTCATTAGTAAAAGGTTCTAAAATTTCTGATGGCTCTATACCTGCTAAGTGATGAAGTCTCAATTTTTCTTTTAGAATCAAGTCAGAGACCTTTCCCATATAAAATTTTAATTTTTTACTGTTTATGTGGTAAAAAAGATGTATTTTAAAACAGTATCTTTCCTTTGCATTAATATTCCAGTAGGAGAATGCATAGAGGGAAAACAATCAAAATGGAATCAAGCTTTAGAAATAAACAACCTGCACATACTTCATGTACTTTCTTTTCCACAAAAGCCAATTCTCTCTCAGCTTCATCTGATAATTCATTTATTTAAGTCCTTATCATCATTTAGATTTTGAACAAATTACTCAGTTCATCATTTTTACCTCAACAGCGGGCTGTAGACTGGAAATGTCTCCTAGCAATCTTTGAAAGTCATTAAGAGTCCACAACTAGCTGGGCGATGGTGGCGCACGCCTTTAATCCCAGCACTCGGGAGGCAGAGGCAGGCGGATCTCTGTGAGTTCGAGACCAGCCTGGTCTACAGAGCTAGTTCCAGGACAGGCTCCAAAGCCACAGAGAAACCCTGTCTCGAAAAACAAAACAAACAAACAAACAAAAAAAGAGTCCACAACTGGCCAGGCAGTGATGATGCAAACCTTTAATCCCAGCACTTGGGAGGCAGAGGCAGGAGGATCTCTGTGAGTTTGAGGACAGCCTAGTCTACAAGAGCTAGTTCCAGGACAGGCTACAAAGCTACAGAGAAACCCTGTCTTAAAAAACAAAACAAAACAAGAAAAAAAAAGAGTCCACTATTGATCTCTCCTAATTTGCACCTTTTGGGGTCTAATTTTTTTAGACCTATTTTATATACTAAATAATTAACAGAATCTCCTGTTTGTATTTATTCACAGGTAATTTGTAATCCCCCACAAGGCAAAATTTTCTTTACTTTTTCAAACATTCTTTCTAAAGTACATTTGAATCAGCTAGTAAGATGTTGAGGAAATTGCTTATGTATCATTTCCAATGGCTGATGTACAAAATATTGGCACAGAGTGAGACTATTTAACATTCCCTGAGGGAGCATCTTCCATTGATATCTCTTAAGAGGTTGAGAATTATTATAAATTGGCAACATGAAAGCAAATTTTTCTTTGTCTTTTTTTCTCGTAAATGTATAGTGAAGAAACAATCTTTTAAATCAATAACTACAAGAGGCCATCCTTTTTGTTTTTGTTTTCAAGACAGAATTTCTCTGAGTAGCTTTGGAGCCTGTCCTGGCACTTGCTATGTAGACCAGGCTGGCCTTGTTCTGCCTCCCAAGTGCTGAGATTAAAACCATGCACCACCAATGCCTTGTTGAGGTCATTCTTTAGGTAATAGAGAAGGCAAAGGAATTCCAGACTGTAGAGAGCTCATTGGCTGAATCACCTTATTAACAGCTCTTAGATCTGTTACCATTTTCCAGATTTCTTTTTAATAACAAATACAGCAGAATTACAAGAACTGGTTGATTCTTCAATATGTTGAGCATTTAACTGCTCCTGTACCAGGTATTCTAAGGCCTGTAGTTCCTATGTTGCTAAAGGCCATTCCTCAACCCATACAGGTTTGTCTGTCAATCATTTTAAAGGTAGGGCTTTTGGTGCCTTTGAAAGATCAGCAGCTGTTGTACAAACTGAATGGTTGATGACTGATACTTATAATACCTTCTAATATTTTTCCCAGAAACATACGTTAATCTGTGGTTTATTTCTAAGATTGGAGGCTGTTAATCTGAGTATTCCATTGCTGTAACAAATCACGTGCCCATAAATTCATTGCTATGTTAGCCACATAAGGTTTTAATTTTTCTCTCTGTCCTTCTGACCCTATACATTTGACTCATCTCATGTTCTGTTTTATCTGAGATAACGTTCTGATCCCTAGAAGATGAATATTTATCTCCTGAAGATTCTGATTTGGATGCCAATATTCTGGTGCAATTATTGTTACATCTGCACCTGTATCTACAAGACCTTCAATGACAATGTCATTTATTCGTGTTTTTAATTTTGGTCTTTGTTCATTTATAGAATTTTTCAAAATATTTGTTTTACAGTTTCTCTTAATTTTTTAGTTCTCTCTTCTATAGCTGCTCGATCATCCAGAGCAGTATGGCTTCTTACAATAGGCATTAGATTCTTTAATTCCTCTGGGAAGGAGTTTCCACCACAATGATAGGAAACGATGGTAATGAATTTGGCATAGGAGCCTACAAGAGTCCCCTCAAGGTATCTCCTGATGGCAAAGGGTTACCTTGACTGTCCATAATTGACCTACATTCATTAGTCCAATGCCTGCCCTTGCCACAACATCTACTTCATAAGGGCATTCTGTTTGCATTAGGTTTAGAAAAAACATTGTTTCTTAGGAACGCCCCGTTTACAGTCCTTTTTAGGTGACCTTGTTTATTGCAGTTGAAACACTTTTTTTTTAAATATTTTTATTTATTTATTATGTATACAATATTCTTTCTGTGTGTATGCCTGCAGGCCAGAAGAGGTGGTAACCTCACTGTGCTTAGTGACACCTGGGAAGACTCTCAGTTGAGGCATTGCCTCCATTAGCCTGGCCTGTGGGAACGTTTGTGGGGGTATTTTCCTAACTGCCAATTGATGGAGGGGATACAACCCATGGTGGGTGGTACCAGCCCTAGGCAGACGGACAGTGTAAGAAAGGTAGCTGATTGTGAGCCTGGGGCTCCTCTATGGTCTCAGCTTTAGTTCCTACCTAGGATTCCTGTCTTAAGCTGTTGCTTCCCTTGCTGATGGGTTGTAGCCTTTCCTCACCAGGTTGCTTTTGATAATGGCATTTATCCTGGCAGCAGAATAACTTAGGACAGCTTAATGTTACTCTGGCGCTCTAGTGTTGAGGTTTGACACCTTGTTACCCTTCCCTGAACAGTGGGCTGGTCTCTGTGCTATTGAAGAACATGTCTTCTTAAAGCTGAACCCTACCACTCTCTTCAAACACTGACTAAAGTTCTTGTTGACCCCCAGATACTGATCCTGACAACCAAGCACTTCTAAGACCAAAGCCTATATTCCCTCCAAATCTTCCTCTCCCCACTCCCTCATACACTCTAGGCCCCTCCTCCTCCCTCCACCTCCATCATACACGCTGGTCCCTGCCTCCTCTCTTCTTCCCCCACCATACACGCTGGTCTCTTCTCCCCGTCCCCCCCAGTCCATTATACACTCTGGTCCCAGGCTCCTCCCCTCCCATCATATGCTCTGGTCCCCTCTTCCTCCCCCATTCCCATTTAGTCTGCTGAGATACCCCTCAGAACATGCCTCCTTCCTCTCTTTCACAAGAGCAGGCCTTTCTTGCTTCTACTTTTCATCTCCCTCCAATCCATCTGCCTCCACACATCAGTTGTACCGATCTTTTAAACAACGCTCTCACCTCCTTTCTGAAGCCATCTACAGCCAGAGTAATATCCAAACTCCTCTTCACTGTGGCCTACAGGACCCACCGAGCCCACGCAGTCCTTCAGCCTGGATGAAACACTCTTGCCCCAGTCTGTTTTCTGCCTTAGTCCAAGGCCTCCAGTACCGCACCCATCACAGAGGCCTCTGCTGAGCACCCTTCAGAATGCAGTCTCATGGTCACGCTATACCGTGTCCTGTGGTCTTAGTGTCTCACGGCTCCCATTGTTCAGTTGGGATCTGCTATACCTATTAGAACCGAAGTTTCCCCGGAGACCTTGGTTTATCAACCTGTTCTTTCTGCACCATGAGCACACCAAAGAATCCCCATCATTACTTGGGGATAAATGACTGACATCAGAAGTCATGGTTTCCTTCATCATCCTCAGTGTCCACACCTTCGGTTGTGGTATTTCCTTGACATGGTCTGCCTCGCCTCCCTCTTCCTCTCCTCATTGTTGACCCCTGTGTGCAGTAAACAAATGCTCATCCTTGTAGTAGGTCCCCCCCCCCCCCCGCCCCCCACTCCCTTTAGGAAAAACTGCTTGCTCTTGACACTCCAGCCAATGGCCTTTTTGTCTAGCTCTATTCTCAGGCTAACTACCTCAAAGTGACCTTAGGTTTGTTCCTAGAAATTCTGCTGAAAACCAAGACTCGCACCTGGAGGAAGTTAAGTCCTTAAAACAAGGCAAGCCCAACTAGGCGAAGGGGTCAAGAGAGCATCCAGTCTTCACCCACAGTGTGTCCTCCAACCCTGGAAGCATCAATCTAAGACTTTTATCTAACCCCAACGAAATCCTCCCACATAACCACCCACTTGAAGCTGTTTTTTAAGCTATGACTCCGAAACCCATAAATGTATGGAGGCTTCAGACTAAAGGCCTCTTTTAAAGGCTCTCCTGCGGCTCGGTGAACAGATGAACAGACCCAGATGACCAGATTATTTCAGGGGCCTATGGGGAGATCTGGCAGGTCCAGCCCCAGCAACTGCAGGGTTAGGTGAATGATCCAAAGTGAAAGGGCAAAGGGTAAAGGGCAAAGTGAAAGTAGCCAGGGCCTTCTCCTGGGGACTGCTTTCTCAGTTGAAACACCAGGACAGTGCTCAGCGGCCTGGGGCTCAGGAAGAGAGGGACTTCTTTGGGTCTTTGCTTGTAATCGCCTTGTACTGGGAAGGCTCAGGGTCCCGCGAAGACAGCCGTGTACCTCCCGAAGCACCTGGTGTTCACCGACTGACCCTTCTCCCTGCCCCAGGGCCACAGCACTGGACCGCTATGGGCTGCAGAAAGCAGGCTTCACCCATGTGCTGAACGCTGCGCACGGCCGCTGGAATGTGAACACTGGGCCAGACTACTACCGCGACATGGCCATCGAGTACCATGGCGTCGAGGCCGACGACGTGCCCAGCTTCGACCTCAGCGTCTTCTTCCACTCGGCTGCCGCCTTCATTGATTCGGCGCTCCTAGACGACCACAGTAAGAGACACTCTCCTCCCGTGCCCTGCCCAGGCCCGCCCCCCAGGCTGAGGCTCCGCCCCACCCGACAGGTACCGCCTCCAGGCATAGAGCTCGCCCCCAAGCCGAGGCCCCGCCCCCGCCCTGCCAAGGCAGATCCGCACCCCCAACTCAGGGGAAAGGCTATGCCCCCATACTTAGGCCCCTCCCCAGGAAGAAGCCTCCCTCCTGCCAGCAGCGTGGAGAGTAGTAGGGATTCTCAAACCTGGTGCCCTGAGGCTGAGGGTTGTCGGCAGGGATTGGTTGAGCTAACTGCCCCGCCACTTACATTGCTTTTGGGGTTCTGGGCTTGACAGCCACTGTCGGGAAAGAAAAGCCGGAGGTTTACACTGCCGGGCTTTTGGTCTGAGTCTGTCTATGAAGGAAAGGCCATCCATCCTTAAAAAGGCCTTGGGTGGACTAGAGTCCTCAAAGCTGGGAACTGCAGCCAAAACGCTAGTCGCGCTTGGGCCCAAACTGGACCAGAGCCAAAGGCTTCAATTTTTAAGGAGTTGGCTTTCTTGAGAACCCATGAACAGACTTGAAATACTTCTGCTAATCACGCAAACCCACGTACTGCCCCCTAAGACACACACCTTCTAAAAGTTGAGGAGCCTCAACTATTTGTATGAACTACACTAGAGGGTCTGGGTGTTGCGCCCGCAGTGTCCCGGTTTCACTTATCCATCTTTTAAGTCAAAGTGCTGATCCTTGCCCTTTAAATGCACTCTTGGCTGCTCTACTGCAGCGGGAGCTCCAAGGCTATTTTGGAGAGAAGGGCACCAAGGGTAAGACAATATGCAGTTACTGCTGCTGGGTGCGCTTCAGTACATTCCACAGAGGCCACAGGGACATCACCTGCCTAGTCGGGGCTCTGACTTTAGCCTCATGAGTCACACCCCTGTGGGAGTCATCACATAACTCAGGGTATCCAGTTACTGAAAAGAAGCCTTTGTTGCCACAAGAGGCCTGAATTCCAAGGCTCGCTGACCAACTGACCTGCTTCAGAACTTGCAACCTGGGGCTAGGCCTAGGCCAAGTCTGCCAGCCCATGGACCTTGATGGCACTATTAGCCCCACGGCCAGTCATAGTCACCCACAAAATTTGTCAACATTCTGGACCAAGACACTGTGCAATGAAAAACCACCAGTGCGCTTGGATTAGAGGGAGGGACGAATCATTTCTGAGCTGTCTTTTCGTGTTCTAGTTACGGATGTCTTTTGTATTCTGTACATTCTCAGTTTCCACACAGGATCAAAAAAGCAACTGAACTGACTCCTCACCGTGAGATAAAATTCACCTCATTGTATTCGAAGTTAACAGAAAACGTATTTGTTGTTGTGTGTGTGGGAGGGGCAGACGGGTGACACAGTACAGCAATCCAGTCCTTCAATATCTGTTTCATGTGCTCAGTTGCCATTTTTATGTCTTAGAACTCCCTCTTAATGGAAGGTGCCTGACAGGCCTTGGACAAGACAAGGCCGGGTTCAGTTTCTCCTCACAAAACTCCGTAGTGAAGTGATTCTTCCAGCGATGGAGGTATGAACCTTGAGCTGCTAGATGAAGAGCAGCGGAGGGATCCGGAAAGCGCTTGGCGCAGAACCTGGAGCGCAGGAGGCCCAAGGATGCACTTGATAGAGAGGAACTATGCCAGCGCGTGCACCTCACCACTGTAAAGTTTCCGGTCCTAAAAGAAAAGAAAGATATTCCGACTTTGAACTTGTATGATATACTCACATGAAAGCTTGTTACAGTATCCCAGGACACTGTTTGAGAAGCTGCCCTCACTGCCAAGTCGGGAAAAGATTTAGGCTCTGGAGCAAGAAAGCATCAGGCTGGTGTTAGACCGGGAGCATGAAAGCACCCAGTAAAGGGCAGGTCAAGGAGAAAGGGTGCGTAGTGAAGTCAGAGAGCGCACAGGAAACAACGCACGGGTGAAGTGTGCTCATAAACAAGCTGCCTGGGGTTAGGGAGCAGACCTTGTCGGCGCTTAGGGGGTTGGGCTCCATTCTCAATGACCTTTGAATTTTGCATGTCTAAAGACTTCCGCAAGCCAGGGTCTGAAATGCCAACTCTTCAGAACCGAGCGTCCACTGAATGGACGGCGCTGTCTGTGTGGCGGTGGGATAGAGGTATGGGGGTGAAGACAGCCTTGTGTCTCCCTTTGAAGGGGGCAGCTGCTGTTCAGCCCCCACCTGCGTTTCTTGGGAGAATCGATGCCAGGGTGGCAGAACTGACTTTCCAGGGAAAACCTTCAATCTATCATGCTGCTCACATTTCAAGTGCCGGCAGAGGGCAAACAAAAATGTCATCGTGATCATCCACTGTCATCTGTGTCCTGAGTGGTCCGAGGAACAAAAGAGAAGGCTCATTAGCTTGGCTCCAGCACAAGACTTGCCACAGACGCTCGGAGAAGCGGATGACAGGTGTTGGACCTGTCTGTCACAAGCTGGGGGTGGCCTGATAGTGTCGAATCACGCACTGGAACACTAAGGGGCACTGCTGTGGCATTTCCGAGCCAGACCTGGGTTGCATGTTTCCTATTATACTCCTGATGTAAGAAGTGTTGATGGACAGTCTGGCCCCAAAGCAGGCCTTTCTCTGTAGCATGACTAATATTGGGGTTCAAACGGAAAGATCAGAGAAGCAAAGCAGCCAACCACCAGAGAGCTCTTACCTCTACGAAATCTTCAAACTGAAAAGAGAACAAGTTCCTGTCTCATTCTGTCTTACATTCCTCTCTAGTGCTGAAATTAAAGGCGTGCACCACCACTGCCTGGCCTCTGTGGCTAACTCGTGTGTCTGCTGGGATTAAAGGTGTGTGCACCCACTGCCTGGTCTGTAAGGCTGACCAGTGTGCCTGCTGGGAATATACGTGTGTGCACCCACTGCCTGGTCTGTAAGGCTGGCCAGTGTGCCTGCTTTGCACTCTGATCATCAGGCAAGCTCTATTTGTTAGATCATAAACAAAATATAACTGTATTTCTCTTTCTTCCCTCTTGCTTTTCTTGCCCTTTGTTGGCAAGTCCCAGCCCAAAATACACCCCTATACCCCACCCTCACTGCCAGTTATGCCCACCCTCCCTGTTATTTTGTTAATTTGATCCTATTGTTTTATAATACTGGGAACTGAACCCAGGCACTGCATATGCTGTGTGATTTTCATTTTTCTTTTTCTTTTTTCTTTTTTTTTCTTTCTTTTTTTTTTTCTAGACAGTGTTCCTCTGTAGCTTTGTTCTGGAACTAGCTCTTGTAGACCAGACTGGCTCAAACTCACAGAGATCCATCTGCCTCTGCCTCCCGAGACCCACCTGGCTCGTTTTTCTTTATCATGTTTTATTTTGTGTTTTGACACAGGGTCTTGTTATATAGCCCAGGTTATCCTGGAATTCAGGATCCTCCTGCCTCACCTGGTACTGGGATTACAGGCTTATACCACTATATCCGGTTTGGTTTTGGACATTATCTTTTGTCGAGCCATGGAGCTATACCCACAGCTGGTCACCAGCCTCTGGGGTCCACTTCTGCCCCTATTCTATGTCAACTTGACCTTCTGAAAGAACTAGGAAACCTCCATCATGGTGGCTAGGTAGCAGCAGTAACTTAGTCTGCTGTCCTTCCTGGTAGCTGAGAAAACAGACTCTGAGAAACCAGGGGGTGTGCCCAGCGTCACAGAACTAATCAGAGGCAGCATCCACTTAGCAGGGAAGAGCCCTCCCCTCACCCAGCCTCATGGAAGACTCTTTTGTTCTTCACATGAATATCTCTCTGTTGACTGTGTTATTTAAAAGTCACCGATCATCACGGAAGTGGAGGCAAGCAAGCTGGCTAAAAGATTTGACACACATAAACTATCCACCTTCTTCACTGGGGAAAGGACAAAGTGCTGCGAGGGAGCCTAGTGTGGATGCTCATGGTGGACGCTGGAGCATCTAACAAAGAGCGAGATCTGGAAACGCCAGATACCACCTGCTCCAGATACCACAGCTTGCCCGGCACTCACTCTTTGTCTTAAACAGGCCCTGGTCTACTTTTGAAGTCTTCACAAATTCTATCACAGGGACTGCAAACGTTGCTCAGTAGTGCACTGTTTAGACTTGGGGTGGAAGCGGATGAGGAAGAAGGCAATCCCAGAACTCAAGATGCAGAGGTAGATGGATTTCTGTGAGTTTGAGGCCAGAATGATCTATATAGCAAGTTCTAGGCCAGCCAGAGCTACATAGGGAGACCCTGTCTCAGGACAAATGAAGAGTTGGAAAATAAATCCAAGCTGGGAAGACAGCTCAGTTGGAACAATGTGTCAGTATAAGCCTGAGGATCTCAGTTCTTTTGAGATCACATGTGAAAAAACAAATAAATCAAACAAGCAAAACCCCAGATGTGATGATGTTGCCCTTGTAATAATAGTGCTGGGGATTTGGAGACAGGCTGGGGCCCATAACCAGCTGAGCCTACAGGCCAAGTTCCAAGCCAGTGACAGACCTTGTCACAAAAGACAAGATGGGCAGTGCCTGAGGAACAACATCTGAGGTTAACCCTTGGACTCCATTTGCATGCACATATGCATGCACGCACAAATGCACACTACAGACCATGTGGGTATGATTATAGATGAAATCATCTTTCTGGAAGGAGTTTTGTTCTCTGGTGTGTCTAAGCTGTAGCCAGGCCATATTGTCCCCAAGTATTATAAGGTCCCCTTTCTTTCTGCTGGACTCACACCTTGTCTGCCTTCTCTGAAGACCTCTACATCCTCTATCTCTTGGATGGAGTAGGAAGTCTTTCTCCCTGTATTCCAAGCCAGTGAGTGGGGAACAGGCAAAGGCAGTCCCTAAACCCAAGGAAGGTGGTGCTGATGAGGGTGTACAGGCATGAACAGCAGGTAGGGTTTGTGGGTCACAGACTTGGCAGGTATGCCTTTCTAGACATTTCATCATCATCATCATAATCATTGTCATTATCATTATCGTCATCATCATCA